TGGTAGAGGTTTTCTTTTTGTGAATGACATGCAGAACTGATTCTGTTGAGTCTTTAATATATAATCATCATCTCTGCCCTTACTGATACTGGGTACAAGTAGTATTTGCGTTAATGTATGTATATTTCAACAGAAAAAAAACCCATAACAACAAACCACTAGTAGAATAGGCTTGCAGATGATAATTGTATTCATTAGAAAGGATTAAAAAGTCTAAACTGGTCTATTTCTTTGTAGTCTTAAAAAAAAAAAATTGCCTGCATACAAAACACAGAAGGGTGATTGCAGGTGTCTCATTCTTTCTCTTTTATGGCAAGGGCATCTTGTAACTTGAGCAGGGGAGGAAGGCTTGCATGTGAATGATGTTTCTAGCTTTGTATTTTACTTTATGTCTGAACTTTGGGCAAAGTTGTTAGTTGTCCTTTTCCAGGCTGTGGTTCTGCAGCCTCAGTCTGTACTGCCACTATCCAGTCCTCCGCCCTTTCTTGCGTTGGAACTGATGCTGTCTTATCCATTTGGTGAAGTGTCTCGGCTCTCTCTAGCTGGTAGAAAGAAAACATAGCAACCCTCTGTCTGGAAAACTCCAGCAGAACCCAGAATTCTGCCAGCTGACTTAACTTACTGAGGGGTTAGAGTGCCAGTGCTGCCCTGGCGCAGGGAGTGAAATTGCTTGCCGGAAGCATGGCAGTTCTGTGTAAGCATTGATTCCAGCTGGCTGTGATCATGGCCTACCATAAACCCATGCCGTGTTTTGAACAGGAGTAATGCTTGCTTCCTGGTAAAGTTCAGTGACCTTTTTTGAGGTCTTGGATGAATGGAAGAAATGAAGTACGTGCTATCTGCAAATACCAATGCTGTGTGGGGTATATTGTCTCAGACTTCATGAAGTTTTGAATGCCTGCTGATATGAGCCCCCATATAAGCCTGTTATTTGGCTTGGGATTTGCATCGAAGGGCCTCTTTTGGTGGTTGAAGTTTTAACAGAGCAGAACGAAACCAAGACTTTAGTCATCAGTTACTTGAAGAGCTCAAGTGTCCTGAACTATTTTCTTTGCTATTGAGCAGTGGAAATTACTATTTTACATTACAAACTACCAGACATTTAGGAATTGTGCTTTGCTTCTATTAAGCTTTGACTGGACATCAAATGGGTAAAAGGTAGAACATTGCTAAGATGGTAATTAACTTCGTTAAGAAATTTATGTAAATGGAAACTGGGTCATTTGTAGAGCTTCATAGCAAACAGCATTCTAAAAGTATTCCAGGGTGGATGGATGTTAAATACTATAATGACTTAGTGTGAGTCTGCCTAAGTATTAGTGGACCACAGTAGTGTGGTTTAAGCAAGGTACTTGGAGATTCTTCCCCAAATCTTGTGATGGAATTGTCATAAAGTGAGCACAAAGTTGTTCTGATAGTGTTTCTGCACAACTTTGACAATAAATACTAATAAAATATAACTGTTACAAAGGAGTGTGCAGTTTGTTTTACAGTATTTGCATTGATCTGTGGGTTTTTAGCATGTATTGCTGTAAAACGATTCTTAAAAGCAGAATTTTCTGGTAACATGCTCATTCTGAGTGTAGCAGGAAAAGCGTGTATCTAATTTGGAGTGCTAGAGCTTCAGCATTAGCAGCGGTTGGCCTTTGTGCTCAGATTCCTGAAATGTGGATTTAGGAGGATGATTGTCCTGGTATCAGTACCAAGATGAGATGTAACAGGCTTGATCAAAACTGATTTTGATTTGCTTTGCCAAGAATGAAAGGTGAAGCATTTGCGCCTCCCAAGCATGCTCGCACAGTCTTTAGTCGGAGCATCTGTAATGAGTATGATTACCTTCATTTCATCTGAAAGAATTAGTTGACTGTAATTTATCTACAGTTGACTGTGCAATTTATATACAGATGATGCACAGTAGACACTTATTTACATATCCATTAACATGAGAATGCTTTGGAGGGGACGCCAACAAGAAGGTTGAAAGCCATGATTCTTTGAGTTCACCTTATACAAGTTCCCTTGGCGTTTGATGTGGACTTTTAAGTGTTACAGGGAAGTGGACTGCAAGGTTCCTCATTTCAATATAACAGATGCCTTTCCAAGTAAAATTATGGTAAGAGTGGGATGATTGCAACCACTGGGTAATACTATGTAATTATACTCACATATGTTGGGTCTTTCAGAGAAGACGTGAAAATAATTATTTTTAATTAGAAGTGATCTGAAGTTTTGTCTGCATTACAAAAACTGTGAGCACTTTTTGTAGTTTGGTGGATCTCTACTTGTATTTCAGTGGTGAAGGCTAGAGTGTGAAAGTAGAAGTGGTGAAGGTACATACCTGTTCAACCAAAGTTGAATTATTGTCTGTGTACACATGCGGATTTTGAGGTGTGGGTGCATTTGAAGTGGAAATTGACTTTGTTTCCAGTAAGAGGCAGCTTGCAGGCTCCCTGTGCCATAGGAATTTTCCCCCCTTAGTTAAGTGGAATTCCTGTCTCTTAATCTGCACTTCCTTTGAGATCAAGTCTGAGTTTTCTGACCTTTTCTGTTCATTTTCTGTACCTTTTCAGCTTTGTGTGACTTCTGTTTAAGTCATCCCCCGGAATGTATGTCCTTGCATTCTTCTGCAGTCATTGACTACTAATACTTCTGATAGTTGGGATTTTTTTTTATATTTTACCCAAATAGTCACAGAATACTTTTGCTGGTTTTCTAGTCCTCTCTCTTTATTTCTTCTTACTGCCATTTAGAACGGATAGAGGGTTACAGGGTCTCCTTTCCTCTAAATTGCTGTAGAGACTCCAAGGAGGAGCAGCATATTTGGAGGCATATGGGGGTGTGGGAGAGTGCTGTTTATATTCGAGTGGAAGAATATATCCACCTTCTTTATGACTTTTACCCCCACACCTTGGAAATGCTGAGACCAAAGTGAAGCTTGAACCTCTTATGGGTTTTGTAAGTTTAGAGACAAAAGTTGACAAAGTCAATATTGAAAAGAGAATCAGAAACGCAAATGAAAGAGAAATGCAGGGAGATACTAAGGGAACAGACAAAGTTTTCAGGTAAACAAGAGTCCTTATTTAGAAAGGAGGATATACAGAAGAAAATGTGGGAGAAAAGAGTCTTGCTGCAGTGAAATGCTGTTCAAGCAAAATATGCCTGTTGGTTATGGTACAGCAGAGTTAATGCTACTAAAACTCCATGGGGCTTCAGTGGAAAATAATGCTTTATACTTGAAGACGACTAGTTTGCTGTAGAACAGTTCCAAAGGGATTTGTATCAAACTGTTTGAGTTTTTTTTTTTTTAATTGGTCAGGTGCTCTGGGGAACTTTCTTCACACTAAGCAATGTGAATGGCAGATGTTTTGTTTGTTTGTTTTTAACTCGGTGGATTCTGTTGTCTTGATATGTGGTCAGATATGAAGCTCAAAAAAGTAAAAGCAAATCTATTTAAGTTATTATTGTTAAGTGTGTGTGTGTGTGGGAAAGTCCAAGAAACTGGTGAATCTTATCATTCTCTTGCATTGAGTTTGTGTTGTGTGAAACCTGATGATAAACTGACAGCACTTACTTTCTGATTTCCTAATTTTGCACAAATAGTTCTTCTGTTGTGTACTAGGTGCTGCTAAAACTCTTGGCACAGGCCTGTTTTTAGTGTTACTTTAAAAAGCAAACTACATATGCTTCATACAGTCACTTAACATAGGTTTATCAGTGCAGCTGTAGTGATAAACTTACCTCAGATTCATGCTGTAACGTATTCTGTAACTGAAGTAGTGTGTATGTAATTATGACTCTCTGCTTCATAAACTTTACTTACAAAATTCTGTTAAATTGCGTTAAGCTGCTCAACACACTGTTCATTTAAGACAGCATCTCAAGATGTAGAAGAGGAAGTGGCTCAAGTATCAGATATTAACAGTTAATAAGAAAGTCTGGTTTCATAGTGTGCCCTCCTTGTCTTGCCATTGGAGGCCATTTGTAATGAAAAATGGGTGCTTGCAGAAGAGAAGGGGTAAATCTGTAAATATTTGCAGGAAATCAGTTGATTGAAGGTATTTGGGTTAAAATACGGGGATTTTTTCTAAAATATTGTGAACGGTACTCTTGTAAGAGGCACGTGGCAGGCTTGCTTGTGAGCTGTGGTGCAGTAATTTGTATTCTAGAAGTACATAGGCAAGCTAGAAAAACTTAAAAAGCATCTTCAATGCCATTTTTTTCCCTTGGTGTTTACGTACAAGATCCTTTTTAAATGTGGGGATTTGGTTTCATTCTTGTCAATGATGCAAGCAGTAGGTGCCTTTTTGGTGTGTGAATACATATTCAGAAATGACTGGACCCAGCTGCCAGCTTGTCATAGGCTCTGAAGAACTTGGCAGCAAGTAGACAAATAAATAAATGTGAGCTAGCTGTCTAACACAAAAAGTCTGTTTCCATTTACCTCTGTAATATTTGGGCTGTTGATGGTTCATAAATTTAGTCTGGTAAAGGACTGGAATCCCAGGCTTGAAATTACAGTAGTAATAGACAATAAGTATTTGCATCCCTTGACTAGATGCTTCAAGAAAGAAATGGGAAGGAACCAAGATTGACAGATGGTGGATAGATGATAAGTGATTGATAGATGGTAGGTGACGTGAGGGGAGAACAACACATGTGAACTCCTGAAGAGGGTTATTGATTTGCGTGCCATGGAGGAACTCTCAGGGATGGAAGTATTTTGAAAGCGTGCTCTGCAATGGGGAATGCTTAGTTTCTGAGGCATTCTCTAGCTGATTGTGAGTTGTGCTGCTTTGAAACTTACTTCTGTAGTGACTCTCTTACTTGTAGGTACAGGTTTAATGTGTAGTAGTGGAATTGTTGATTTTTTTCCTCTTATTACTTTTTCTTCCAATATGCTTTCCCCCATTTCCAGTTCCACTTTAGTTGCTGAGATTACAAGCGTTCCCTGTACTTGAGTAAATACTTTTTTCTTTTTTTTTTCTTTCCCAATTCAGTTACTGAAATCATGAATCCTGTGTATAGCCCTGGATCTTCTGGGGTTCCCTATGCAAATGCCAAAGGAATTGGTTATCCAAGTAAGTAACTGTTCCTTAATGAGTTTGTTACACTGATCTTTCTTTGTAATCAAGAGAAATAGTCACTTCTAAATGGCTTCATGTATGGTAATCTGTTCTGGGATTTGGGTGGGGTTTTTTTAAATTTAAAAAGGCACATTTCAAGGGTGATGTTACTTGTTCTGTTATCTCTAACTTCAGTATCTCTTCCAAAGCAGCTTATTTTAGGAGCTCTAATAATTACACCCTGCAAGAAGAGGAGTCAGTCTATTTCTGCTGCTAGTTGGCTCGTGCTGTTAACCATTCTATCCTCTACTTCTTCTTCATGCTGTCTATTTGATGACTGCCTGAAGCATGATGTTGAATGTGGGACCAAGAAAATGGCCAAAAAATGTTTTTTTAAACAAATGAAATGTATTTCTTGCTTTCTCTGCTTCTCATTTGGCTTCAAGTTTCTCACTAGGGTTTTTTCCCCTCATTTACTAATATGTGTGTGTGAGCAGGCTTCGTTTCTGATGTCCCTATACTTCAGAAGTTGGATAAGGCGATAATTAGATTTGGACAGAACTTTCCAGGAAGGCTGAAGAGAAGGGCTGTGTGCCTTTGTGAGGCATTTCAAGCAGTATGCCTTGATGCAGTCTCTTTTTCTGATATCTGTGGGGTAACAGAATTACTCTATCCTGGGAGAGGCCAGAGGGTCTTTCAGCTCAGATCCTATGTATCAAACCAGTTGGACTTCCGTAGATTTTAAAGGACGGCTGTTTTGTCATTTGGGTGGTGTCTGTTGGGAGCTACACATTGTTCTGCACCATTACTGTTTATATTCTTTGTAGCTGTGCTACATTTTCCTACTGGTATTTACAGTTTTTAAATTTGTTTTTCAACTCGGGTAGTGTACTGGAGTTTCTGTTTTCCTGTTCTGCTTTTCTCCATTGCTTCTTCTAAATACTAATGCATAGATGAATTTTCTTTACTGTTAACTTGATTTTATCAAAACCTTTTAATTTTTGTTTTTGCTTTTCAAGTACTTTTGATTTTTTTTCTTCAAACTTGTGTATGTTTCTTGATTTCTACAGTGTTTATAAGGGGAAAACACAAACTGTTTTGCAGTGGGTTTAAGTCTATATTTGTAATAGATTGCTTTTTCAAGGCTTTCTTTTGCTTTAGATGAAGGCTGCTATGAATTACTTAAATATAACTTCGGATTTTTATTTCTCTTCATTTTCTAAACGCAGATTTATATTACCAGGGTTTCGTTTGTACTTATAACCATTTAAACAGAGCTGCAATGCAATGTGTATACTAATCTAAGTGGTACCTTAATTTACTTAGGAAGATATAGTCTTGTAGATTCTTAAATAGCAGTTTAAACAACATTACAACTTCTTATCTTTTATTCTACTGTTACACATATTAGACTACATAGTGAATTATGTAAGTATTGTGTATTTGCTGATCTTCACTTGGTTGTAAATTAGTGGAACTAAAATACGTGGAATTGAAGTAAAATTAAAATTGAAAAATTGAGTTGAGCACTCAAAATTCTTCCTTACAGCAGTCAGTCAGTCAGTTTACACAACTGTGACCCTTAAATTCAGCTTAGTCAATAAGGTCTGCAGTGTTATGCTGTTATTGATAGTTTGCTGAGCTGCCTGGTTCAGGCTTAAAGACTGTGGGATAAACACAAAACGCATTCTGTAAAATGAAATGTAGACTTGCATTTTAGGATTTTTTTAAAAAGCTTGCATGACTAAGTCTCCCTTCTTTGCGTCTCCTAATTTAAAAGCTACAGATTCACCATTCGGAGCCAGTGAATTTACATGGGTTGCATAGTAATAGAAAGTAATGAATGTGTCGCTGGGTGGAATGTGTTATATAAAGGCACTGTGTTTCTAAAGCTGTTGCGTATTTAAGAGGTTTTTATATTATACTACACTTATTTGAAGTTGTTGGAAGGGTTTGTGTGTAGCAAAGAATCGATATCCAAATGCTCTGACATGGATGAAAGTTCTGTGCAGAAGTTAAAACTACTGTTTGTCATAGTTACATTTTTCACAAACGACTTGTTTCTTGAGCAGTTTAGGGTGCTCTACTGTGAAGCTAAGCCTGTGAAGAAAGAACAGAGGACTGAAAATGTATACAACATAAGTAATAATGCAGTTGTGTAGTTAGAGCAAGGTGTAAAGCTGTACTAAAGCTTCTTGCTAGCAGCTTGTGAATTTGAAAACTAAAGAGCTATTTACACTCCAAAAAGTTGTTATGAATTGCATGTGTTATTTTTACCTTTAATTTTTAAGCCTAATGGTTTTCTTAGTCTTGTCAATGCTGACCACCTAATAGTAGTGCCAAGTCTATGTTACTTGATACATTTACAGAGGGCTTTACAAAACTAGATTAGCATATATAGTCCTGAGCTAGGGAATTTTTGTTGTTAGGAGTAATTACTGAGGACTCTGGGATTTATAGTGACATAGAAATGTTTCAGATTTGAATAGCAGTTTAAAACTAGCAGCGTTAAGCCTGACAGTTAACATGGAAATAGTAATTGCCTTTTATCTGGATAAGTTGAAATATTTGTATGTTGATAACAAAACTGGTAGTAACTCATGTATTTCTAAATACAGACGTTGCTCAGTTCTACAGTTTGGAATGATGTAAATAAGTTCCTGGAAGAACTAATAGCTATGATTAATTCAGAAATTCCACTTATTACAATATAAACAAACTTTGTATCTTTCAGGTAACTGTATCTTTTGCTAATGCTGCTTTTTGCCTTATGTTGAGGCCCAGTATATCGTGATGTTAGTTCAGCCATAGTGGTTCTTGTACTCTGGTATGGAGGTGTTTACCTATCATTTCACTGATACCTCAGTAAATCACCTGTTACTATTAGCTGTCACAGTACATGCCTGAAACTGGTGAGCTTGTTTGATACCTGAGTGTAATAACAAATGAGTCAAATGGAACAAGCATTTTGGACTACCTGAGGTTGCTTTGTGCTCTCTACTTGGAATATCTCTGATCTGAAGAGTCAGAGTCACTCTGACTTTTAGGGATTCATCTCTGTAAAAAAAAGTTCCTTTGCAGATAAATATTTTATGTATATCAGGTCTTAAAACTCACAGGGGAGAAGGGTTGGATAGTTGCACAAACCTTTGTTGTCCAGCTGACTTAAGAATTGCTTGGCCAACTTTGAGATTTGCTGAAACAGCAATCTAAGGGAGAATGGCACTTTTGACTCCTTAGCTGTTCCCTTCATCAGGTGTCTTGGGAGTAGGGGAGCCTGGTGTTTTAGGTGAGGAGGTGTGATTGAAGGCCATCTGTTAGCCTTATCTCAATTAAAAGATGTACAGTGAGAGTTTTTGAAAGTAAAGTCTGGGTAGACTGTGCAGTCAGTCTAGAAAATAACTTTGACATATTCTTTCTTCTAGCTGGCTTCCCAATGGGCTATGCAGCAGCTGCTCCTGCCTATTCCCCCAATATGTATCCTGGAGCAAATCCTACCTTCCAAACAGGTATGTGTAATAGGTATGTCTAAGCAGTAACCTGAAGTTTGGAAGTTAATAGAACCAAGAATGAGGAGAAGCTGTAGGGGCTTACAATAACACTTATACTGTGGGATAAGTATGAATATGACTCACAAGGAATGACCTGATAAATCAAAATTAGTGTAGTCTTGTCTTATGTCATAGTGCTTTCACCTTCAGAAAAGGGAAAAGCTGAGGTTTTTGCTGTTTCTGTATTTCAGGCTGATACTTGAGGAATGCATTATGTTTCCCTTCACTGCGCCCTTTGTGATTCTGCTTGCTTTGCATCCTCTTGGTTGTTCCAGATTCCTGTTTTTTCTTCTGTAATCTTCAAAATTCTTCTTTTTCATCCTTTTCTTAAATCGTATCTTTCCAAATTCAGCTTGCTGCCTTCTTTCTGCCCTTAAAATTGTCCCACACAAACTAAGCGTCTGGAAAGCCTGGTTGCTGGGTAAAACTGTTTTGTCCATAGTGGGATACTGGGGGAGGATTTCGGTAACTGCACTTGCGTGCTTGTCGTTTAAGAGAAAGGGAGTGTGATGAGCCTAGGAAAAGGGAGATGGAAAAACAAACACAAGAGAAACCTAAGGTGTTCTGCTTTCAATAATAGATGATGATTTTGATGTGCCAGTGCTTGAAACAAAGCAGAAACTGATAGCATTTAATTTCCACTTAAACCAGGAACATACATCTGATAGAACAGTATTCTCCCTCTGGGTATTTTGCATACTAAGGAATTCCTTACATTGCTTTGTTAATGTAGATATGGGCCATCTTCAGGGGCTCTTTCACTTGCATGGGTTATACCAGTTTTTCAGAGATACACATGGCACATAGTCAAATTTGTCCCTGGATGCCCTTGTGTAACTTAAGGGGTTAGGAAAGGGTGCTGCATGGAATTGGGAAGCTTATCATGTGGAAGCCTGCTTGCAGCATTGAAGTTCAGTGTTTGTAACGTATGGAATTTCATTGACTACCGGGAGACTCTTAAAAGGATGTGGCAACAATTACTGAGGCAGGACAGAGTAAGTAATCTAAAATGTTTGCCTGCAGAACTCCTGCAGTGTGTAGCTGTGTAATTTCCCTTGGAACTGTGGAGTATTCTAGTTGGTACAGCCTGTGTCTCTGTTCAGTTTGGTGCTTAGAGGCATAGTGAGCGCAAAACTGATTTTGGTCTGAATTTGAGGTAGGGAAACGGATGGATATTATAAGTTCCAGTAATTAAAATTAAAGTCTATCCTTTGGATAGGGTATTGCCTCTGTGCGAGTACCATATCTAGGGGTACCATCTTGCATTTGCACTGCCTTGCTTAAGAACTTTTTGGAGTGATGTTCAAGGGAGAGCAGTTCCCACCAGGGGTATAACTCTTAGTGTGGGAATTAAAACCCTGTGTGGGCTTATGTTACTAACAGGCCATTCAGTTTCACGGTTGAGATTACCTTAGCGGTGTATCTCTGCCTTCTGTGCTCCATTGTGTCTGTTGTCAGGATTCCTGCAGCTGTGCTGAGGAGTAGCAGTAGTTTTTGATCCTAGGATCAGATAACTGAAAGGTAGTTCCAGTCTTATTACTGGTTGCAGTTTGCAGATCCTACAGCAGGGAGATGAAGATGAGCTACGTGTGATGAATTTACCAAATCACGAGGCTGATGTTTTTATCCAGTCAATTGGTTTTTTTCCTCCATATCAAATATGTTGTAATAGAAGATTGTGGTTTCTGGGGAAGATTCTTGACTTCTTAGACTTGATCGAGTTGTAAGATTGGTTTGCATTGATTAATCTTGGAATATATCTCACACTATGTAACAGAGTTAGAAGTTTTTCACTTTTGTGTGAAAAAGGGATAAAGATGTACAGAAGTCTTATACTGTCTTTGAATGTTCTTAATTTTTTTAAAGCTAGTACTGTTAGAATCTTTATTGCTGTTGAATAGAAAATAAGCTTTTATTTCTGAACTAAGAATAGCTTTAATTTTTAGCTACTTTTTAAGTTATGAACTGAAGTTCAGACTGTCCAGATCTTCCAATTCAGGCAGATAACTGATACTTTGTCTGAACAGATGGGATTTTTTATATTTTTTAACTTTTTTGATATAACTGCTGGTTTGTAGAACCAAAACTTTTGTAAATTTGCATCACACAGCAATATTTGAATGTGCTGTGTTACTGCTGTTCAGAAAGAATACCTCTTTACAGATTTCTTTCTTAAATTTCTGTTTTTGAATAACCATGTGGCTTACTTTTAAGGTCTTTGCTCTCTGTAAGGGAGAAAAAAAATTAAATGGGAAGGTGGAATACCTCTTGTATAGATGTACCACTTTGCAAGACTGAAAGTTAAATCGCCTGTGCAGCTGTATCAGTGGGCTTTTAGAATGAGAGTGGGCTTGACTGAGAACATAATTGTAGTTCAGCAATGATGCTTCGTGTTCAGCATTTTGTAGCTGAGTTCTTCAACACAAATAGCTCCCCATACTAGAAATAGAAGTTACTTCCTCAGCATGCTCTATTCGTCAAGTACTTAGGATCTCTAAAAACAAGAGTTCAGAGTAAATGCTGTGGTAGCTTTCTTTACTGTCTCTAAAGGTGATAAATTCAATTTAAAAAAAAAAAAAACAAACATAGTAAACCTATTTCTTTGTAAACATAACAATTTTCAGTTTGAAGGGTGGAATGAAATTGGAAAGAAACTCAAACTTGCACAAAAAGAATGAAGGTTATCTGTCGTCATGCTGTCTGCACAGGCCGATTTTTCACAACACAAATGCCCATGTTCTTTTTGCTTTATGGCTTCAGATCTGTTCTCTGTATTGACGTCAGCACATTCTAAACAGTTTTTAAAGTCCAACTAATCTCTCTTTTGATAGTCTCAGTTTCTTCTGTAATTACCAAGTGTTTTTTCTTCCTTGTGTTGCCCTAGTACTAGTTTGTACAGTTCTAACTAAATAGAAGTCCTGTCTGTGGGTGTTGCGTCTGCTAGTGTGGTGGACCTGCGTGAGACGCAAGATCTCAGCATAGCACAGGCTAGGACTGTTCTCCAGAACAGGTCATGCCTGTTGTTCACTACCCTGAATGTCATTAATGCCAGATGCTGCTGCTAAGGTGTTTGTGTTCCCACTCTGCCCATTAAGCCATAGTATAATCTTGGGAGTGTACCGTGCAGCAGCAGTGGTGCTTTTCATAGACGTCCTCCATGCCTCATCGAGCCGTTGTTCTGTTATCTGAGACTCGTCTGATGAGGGCTGGAGAATTTACAGAAGAACTGTCTTTAGGCAGGGTCTGAGCCAGCAGCTGCTACTTATCCCTGTAAAAATTGAATAGTTCCCAACACTTAAAGGCAGACTGATTTGAGGGGCCTTGTAATAGGAATGCAAAATTCTCTTTGGCATCTGAAGTCTTACTCTACTGTATAAAAATAATTCTTAATTGATGGTTAAGGGTATGTCTACATATGTAACACACGAAAAGAAGATTTAAAGATAAAGTGCCTTTGAAGTCTAGTTTGCAGTTGCAATGAACTCTGCAGCGCTTGTGTTTTAAAGCTATTGCCTTTCATATTTATTGTAGCCAGTTCAGAACATGCCAGAAAACAGATATGAATGAATGTAAGTTGAAGCAGAGGTTGCAGATTGTGTCTGTTCTCTGAAAATCCATCTTGAGCGTTTTACATGATTCTGACTTTTGAAATTGTTATTCTTGTGCTGTATCATCTTCTACAGAAGACAACTGCAGGTTAATTAACTGTTACTATGTTTGCCAGTACAATTTGGGATGCATTGAGAACTGGATTTGTATCAACGTGTGCCAAACCCTCCCATGTAGGAATGCTGCCTGATATGCCAAAAACAAGTATTTAATGATATTACTATGAAAATTCAAATCCACTTTTTTATCCCGTATCCATAGATTTGAAAAGCAAATTGTGCAAAAATACAGATAACTTTTCATGCTTAGTTGACACAGTAAAGCAGTATTTTTAGACTGTAATCAGAATTATGTAAATGATAGAACTTGGGCTTGGATATTGAGACTAACCTAATAAGTGCTTACATGAAGGTAAGGAATTTGGAAATTAAGAAAACTGTTACTCCTGGCTTTAGAAAGCAGCGTACTGACACTTGTTTTTCATGTTTTTAATGCAGATTTACCTTTGTTTCAGGTTATACACCAGGCACCCCGTATAAAGTATCTTGTTCACCCACTAGTGGAGCAGTGCCACCATATTCTTCGTCACCGAATCCCTACCAGACTGCTGTGTACCCAGTTCGAAGTGCCTATCCGCAGCAGAATCCATATGCACAGGTAAATGAACAAAGCCAAAATGCTGTCTGTTTGGATGGTATCTTGTTTGCCTTGTAATATCTGCTTCAACACTTAACTTTACATCACATCTATTTCTTTCGTGGATGGGGAGAATGTCTAGCTGCCTACAGTAAGAATGACAGTTACTCTGCACTTATTGATAATGTGTTCAGTCTTTGAAGAGACACTAGATTCATTAGTTTTAAAAATGTGTGCTGGATGCTGTACTACCACATCCTGATTTCATTTTGTTAAAAATTGTCATAAACTTGCATTGATTTTTTTTTTTAAAGGAAGCCTCTGTTGTCATTCAGGGAGTTACCAAGTCTCATACTAGGCAAACTGTTGAAAACAGAGTAAAGACACTTCAGTAAACACATTTTGGGGAAAAGTTGGCCCTCTTCTTGTATAGAGGAAGCTGGCCTGGCACGTAGGCAGTAGTTGAATGGAATTAATAAGCACGTAACAAGGTTTATCCAGTCTGGTTAGTGTATTTGAATTTGTCAAAACCGTATGGTTCTTTTACTAAAAGCAGCTGAATAAAAAGTTGTGAAAGAATGTCATGGATTAATACATGAAAAGATACAAAACAAAGGGAATAAATCATGAACGAGCCCTTACTGTTGAAGGCACAGTCGGCATTGGAGTTCAACAAAGGTCCCTGCTTTGAAGGTTATCCTAAATGCCTTAAAGGGGCAAAATGTTAAAAAGTTTGCTGGTGAAATGCAATTGGGATAGTTGAAATTAATATGTGGGCTTCTGCTCTGTAAATACATTGCATTTGTAGAATAATGCTTTTATTTTATGATGCATTCATGAAAAAATATCGTTGCTCTTCCCCACCAGCTATACAGTGATTAATTTACATCTTTCCTCCGACAGCAAGGCACTTATTACACGCAGCCTTTATATGCAGCACCACCCCACGTAATCCACCACACCACCGTTGTGCAGCCCAATGGCATGCCAGCAACTATGTACCCTGCTCCGATTCCGCCACCAAGAGGGAACGGTGTGACTATGGGGATGGTGGCTGGGACTACTATGGCAATGTCAGCAGGTATGCAAATTTATAACCTTTACGTTTTTGTGATGAAACTCTCCTTTCAGGTCGGGACAGAACACAGCTGCATTATACGGACATGGTGCCAGAGATGTACTTGGCAGAATCATAGAATTGTTTAGATTAGAAGAGACTTGTAGGTTACCTAGTCCAGAGGCTTCAAAGTGGATCCAGCTAGATCAGGTTGCCTACATGTTCAGTCATATTTTGATCATCTCTAAGGTTGGAGGTATCACATCCTCTTTTCAGATGCTAACATTATGGTAAAATAGTTTTTCTTTATATCTCTGTGGATTTTCACTTACTCTCGTCGTCTTTGCTTCTCACCTTACCAGTGTCAAGAGTCCGACTTCCTCTTCTCAATACATTTCTCTGTGCCTGGTTGAAAGTGGCAGCCTCTTAAGGCTGAAGAAACTGCAGTGTTCTCAGCCCGCCCCTCATATTGCTGACTTTCTTTGTATGTTGACGTACAGCATTTTATGTGTTTGCACTACCTGCAGGTCTTATGTGTCATAGGGAATGGTTAGGATTGTCTCCTTCCTGATACCACACTCTTTTAGTGATAGTGTTTGAGGAAAATGTTGTTTAACCAATAATCTAGACTCATCTGTGAATTTTTACTGAGGGGGTGTCATGCTTTGTTACTCAGTGGGTGTTAACTCCTGAAGAAATGTCCGCATTACCTAATTGAACGTCCTTTGAATCAATCTGAAAAACGAGAGCTGTGAGCCTGTTCTTGGATTCTATTTTTAATCTTGTCAATTTTATCATTTAACTTGAGGGATCTCAAAACCAGAGTAGTTTTGTGTTACAAACTGAGCTTCCATTGGAGTTTTATGTGTGGGCGAGCTTATCCCAGGTGTTTGCTGCTATTTCTACAAAGGACTGAAGAGTAAGACTGTTAAGATCCTGCTGCTTCAGCCTGTTTGTTTCTGAAGCCACTTAGTCTGTACAAACTTAACTGTAATAATGCAAACAAGAACTAATTTATTCTGATTTATCAGTCCAGTTATCTCTACCATCAAATATTCTCAGGGCATGTCAAGCCTGCTGCAGGAAAAAGTTTTGCAGTGAATGCTTATGTTACAGGGTTTCTGCTAGAGCTATTTTTGAGTAATGAGTATCTTTGTGTGCATTGGACTAAACATTAAAATGATCTCCTTGCATAAATGTCTGAAGAAAGATTGGGGCTGGAGTGCAAAATGATGCTGGTAATTTTAAGTTGGAAGCTGAGCAAGCTGTAATTGTTTTTAAAATTAACTCTCTCCCTTACCCACCCTTTTTTTTTTTCTCTGTGCTAGAATTTGTGCTTACTGAAAAAATAATGTTCTCTTCATCCTAGGTACTCTGTTGACAACTCATTCCCCAACTCCAGTAGCCCCTCATCCAGTTACTATGCCCACATATCGGGCTCCAGGAACACCAACCTATAGTTATGTGCCCCCACAGTGGTGATCATCCTGGCAGTCAGTGTAAGTTACTGATTTACTTTGAAAGCAGTTAAATCTATCTTATAAATGACAGCATTGCAGGTTCTTTCGAGGAGATTTTTCAGAAGGTAATCAGTCTGGAGTACTTGTACAGTATTCTAATTGAGTAAAAATACCTAAAAAATTATTGCTTATGTAATAGCTGTTACCTCTGAAGGAGAGAAGCCTAGTGGGACTTCTTCAGGGGTCTGTATCTTCAGAAATCATAAATTATTTTCATGGCTCGTGACTGTTGAATATGAAAGAATGAGCCTCAAGTTTGCCTTATTGAAATAACATCTGGGACTAAGTGTATTCAGTATTTTGGAACCACTGGTAATTGTTGAATTCAGCAGTACTGTGGTTCCTGAATGAAGTGATGAGTGTAACTTTGTAGTCTTATTTTTGATTGGCTAAATATGTAGGCAAGGGAGGTGCTTTGCCTTGCTCTGAGGGTGAATCTTTCTCACAAGCTGTTGCAACAAATACACAACCTTGAGGTAATTTCATACATTCACTCTGTTTCAGGTAAGTGTAAGTTCATCCTGCTTGCAGTCAGCATGGAAAAAATCATTTCCTGTGTGGACCTAAATTTAAGTCACGAGTTTCAAGAAAAGGAGTTTAATTTTGAAATCTGCTATAAGGTGGGATGGATTTTTGGGGGTGTCATATGTGCCAAACTGACACAAAGCCAAATGTTTTTGGGAGCCTCACTTCTGTTTCTGTGGCTTTTAGCATAAATTGAGAACAGCTTCATTTGAAATAAGTCAGACCAACTGAACTAGAAATTTTCACTTGTACTCCATTTAGTTTACGATCGAGTTTTACTTTGTTTTAACTTTCTCTGGATTTCTGTTTCAGCAGTTAGGAGTCCAGAGTTCTGTGTTTGCAGGCGACTGTATTCCCTTTGAGTTAGTAATGCAACAGCCATTTCTCGTTTTGCTGTGATGCCACATATCAGTCTGCAGATCTGAAATGTTTCACACGTGATATTTTGTGCTAGTGTCATATTACACAAGTATAAAAAGTGAGAGGTCTGCTGTAACTAGACTCATGACTGCTGATAATTAAATTTAGCAAAAAATACCTTTTTAATATTGTACCTTCTACATTAGACAAAACTACTAGTGATGACAAAGCTGGAATGGACATGATGGGAGAAAATCAACGTACTGAATTTTTAACCTTGAAGCCTGTAGTAGATTTCCGTTGACTGCATAAGTGCTATGGTAGCATTATATAATACTTAGCATCCATCGTGTGTGTATATCGGCGTGGTGCATTTAATCTCAGAATGTTCTGCCACACTCAAATGGTATTTCACATAATTGAGAATATTTCTGGCTTTTTTTCGCCCCCCCTCTTAATGTAGGTTTGAAGATGGGAGATATGCAATCAAGAAATTGAGATTTAAAAGTTGGTGCTGAAGCCCTCATGCCTCCAACCAGGACTTTTCTTCTGAATGCTTTCAACACTTGGCTAAACACTACTAATTCCTGATCACTGAAGATTTTCCAGTGCTGCATATCTTACATCTTGGAACTCCAGCAGTTAGTCTTAAAGCAAATCCTGTTTTGTGGACTGTCTTGCAATTTTTTAGCTAATTATAATGATAAAAAAGGGAGTATAAATTTATTCTGATCCATATCTAGTTGAATGCATGTTAAAACACAAAAACAAAGCTTGCTCAATCTACCTGCAGTGACTGATGCAAAAACCATCATATGCAAATCCAAAGGAACCGAAAAGTATTTTACAACTTGTATCACTAATGCACTGTTGTAATGTATGCAGGGTCTTAAAAGGTAGAATCAGAAAAGTGAGTTTCTTTATAGAATACCATAACATACATTAGATAAGTGCTTCAGCCTTTTTCAGGTTGATGGAGTTGCCAGTTTAAAAGGGGCATATTTTTATTTAAGTCATGTATTCTTTTAAAACTCAACTACTAAATTGGAGTGACTGGAAAATGAGTCAGACAAGCTGTAGAAATCCCGCACACAATTAGTTTACTTCATACCTTTTCATTTTCGTTATATGGATTCAGTGTTATACAGATGTTCTTAAGGATCAGAATGAAATGACAAAGGTAATGCTGTGTGTGCCAGAAAATAAAGCAAATTTCCTTGAGGCAAAACTGGCTCTTAGGAATAATAGGAGGTGGCATCACCTGCATAATGAATTGCATGTCCTGGGGAGATATCTATCCAGTACTATCTTTCATGGGATGCAAGATGTGTCAAAGTGAGACTGCAACACAGACTGATAGAAAAACGTTTTCTTTTCGTTCTCAGTTCAGGAAATCCATGCTGTTTTTCCTAAAGGATGTTGTAGTCATTTGAAAATGTTATGTGCAGTTGATCCAGCGTGCTTTCCTGAAACTTAAGAAACGCTAGGGCTTTCTGCAATGAACAGGAGGAGTTCAGCTGCATGTTATTCTGAGGAAAGCTTGTGTGCCTGATGAGTATGTTAAAGGGGAACAAACCATTTTAACAAAATTTCCTTGTTAGCTACTTGCAGTATGGACTATGGATATGCTGTAGTAGGGCTGCCAGAAGATAGAAGTTTTGAATAGCTGTTTGTTTTTGTTCTGTTAGTTTTTTTTTTCTGAAAAATTTGTAATTGAGGTAGGAGCCATTTGTTGGTTACAGCATTTTGATTGTGTTTTCTTAGTATTTTCTTTTTTTACTTCCTGAATTGCACTTGGAAGCATATAAAATAAGAATTGACTGCAGATAAGCATTTCATTTCAATGAGTCATTTCTGGTATTTTTTTCTTGCAACTTCAATTTTTAAAAAGTACCTCAAAGCAAATGCTGTGGGGATGAAGGGCTATCCTTAGAACCCATTTGTATACCAGAATTGTTACGAGGGAGATCTTAAATTTTTAAATTTGAATATTGCACATAAAATCAAGGTTTTTCTTAAACCTGCTTGACTTACAATTCCAGAAAGATGCAATTTTCTTTTTTTGGATACATTCTGCCTGCAATAAGTTGTGCAGTAAATGGTTATAAAATGTTGTTCCCTTTTAAGCATTTACACAGATGTATATCAGGCTGTATTGTTCTTGTAGGTTAACTTCCATTCAGAAGTAAATTTTTTAAGTTGTATTTCTAGTTATGCTTTGTTTTGGGGGGTTCTGCTCCTATACAGATTTGGCAGCTACTTCAGGGTAGCGTCAGTGCTGATTTAATGCTGCCATTCCAGTCCTCTGCCCAGGTGGGAGGCTTACGTACCTTCGTAACTCGGTGGTGGTTAGAGCCTTCCGTAACTCTTATTTTTTACAGTAAGCACTCTCCGTGTTATATACTTCCCTCTTTTTTTTTTGTTTAATAAAGTTTAGGTTTGTTTTGCATGAATCACTGTCAGTGGACGGCCCCCTTATTTTTAATGCCTTGAACATGACGATGTTGTTGGAGTAAGTACTGTAAACCTTACTCATGAGCACTTACTGCAGCTTAGGGATTTCCCTGCGTTTATATGGAGCAGAAAATTACTCCAGACAAACTTATTTGAATCTGTACTGCTTCGTTCAAGTCTAACAATTCCATTTGTGTAGTAGATTTGCAGCTTTGATTAGTCAGGTATGCCAGAGAGTACAGTGAACACTCATACAGGCCATTTGTCCATTTTAGCTAGTAGAGTGTGACATTTTGTTGTCTTAGCATGATTTTAACAAAGAGCTGAGGTATGAAACAGTGATTTTGGGGAGAAGCTCTGAAGAACAAGCTCAAAGCTTTGCTGTCTCCTGTCTCATCACCCGATAAACTAAAGCTTTGAAAATCATAGGAGAGAACTTTCATGAATGCTGCAATAGATAAATAAATAGCTAAGGAATGAATATAACGTCCTATGTATTTGCTCTAATTTCGGATTCCTAAATGTCATCTTGGAATTGGTCTCTGTGTAATATTCTGTAACATTGAGGCAGTCTCACTTACTTGAGCACTTTTTTTTTCTAAGTTGCATTATGGGATTCATCCACGAGGGGGAAACTGTACCGTTTTTTAAAAGGTACTACACCTTTCAGTTTTGATCGATTGTAATCTACTGGGAGGGTGGAGCCTGTCTCCAAGTAGTTGATATGGAAAGTAACCAAAAGCACAGTGCAGGGGGATGGGGGGGTGAATATGTGTATATATAACTATCCTAATGGTATTTTGTTGCAAATAGTAGAAAGCATGGATATAAAACTGCGGCGGGGGAAGCTGTACATCTTTAAATAGGCGTTTACACAGTGAGGGTCTTATGAAACATTCTCTCCTGCTTTTTATATAACATTCCCTACTTAGAATTCCTTTATAAATAAATACACAGTATGTGTTTGCACTAGAGCTCCGCAGCAAATGAAAAGAGCTAGTGCAGTCGAGACATTTCAGATTGAGCTTCTCTTTTAAAAAAAAAAAAAAAAAAAAACCACAAAAAAGGCAAACAAACAAAAACTTTTATGGCAGCTTTATATGATAAAAAAAAGTACTACTTTAAACCTGGAACTGAAAATAACTGTTGCAGCAATAACAAAGAGAAGTCCAAGAAAGGTATTTTTTTGTTTGTTTTAAATTCAAATTTCAGGTGTTGAGTTTAGATAAAGTATTTTTTAAAAACTGAGGTATTCCCTATGTCAGTAACAACTGATGAAAATGTCTTTTAAATGTAGCAGCAGCAAAAGAAAAAATGGCTAATTGGCACCAAGAAATGTAGCCCTAGTCAGTGGCATGGTGGTTATTAATTGAAACACTAGGAAGGAGAACAGAGAACCTACTACCAGATCTTGCTTACGCTTGTTGTAGCCATCTCCTGTTTGAAGTTTCTAGGAGACGTGCAGGAAAAAATTCAAGAAAGCTTCTTTTTGAGTGTACTATGCAAGTTAAATGCTTAGATGCAGTGGTAGATGAAAAAAACCCCTTTCTTTTGGTTGAAGTCCTTCCTTGTATTGCTTCATTCACTGAAAAAAACCCAAACCACCATCACCCATAAGTGCCACCGTGTCTTAGTGTTGTCTGAGAATAGTTCATGGTACAGAGTTGTATACCAGGGTACTCAGCATTGACTACTCTTCATGGATCATTCTGGCTTCACTCCTACTTGGGTAGTAAGGCCACTGAAGGTATCTGGGCAAGAGATGGTCAGAATTGACTTGGAATCACTCCCCAGTGCTTAAGCACAGTGTTATGTACCATTCATTTGGGATTAGAACATACTTTTGCTTGAATAGGTAAGCACAGTGGTCATACCATGACTTAACTCTAGGCTTAACTCATATCACAGAGTAGTAAATACCATGTATGTGAAACCTCCCATCTTAGGAACATGAACAGTAGCGATGCCTTGGCTGGAACTGGTGGGAAAGAGGACAGGTGCTGTGGTTGCTGAATGGTAGTTTGCAGTGGCCCAGGATGTAGTTTGTGCAGTAGTCGGTAGGAAGTAGACGTGGTCTGTATTGGCCTTCTCCAGCGGGTGTCACTGGCCGGCCCCGGCACAGGCAGAGGCACAATCCATTAGTCCTCGTGTTGAAGTGTTTGTGAATGCCAGTTCAAAGGATGCAAAGATTTAAGCTCATTCAGATTGTCCTCATTAAGTGTCAGCTTTCTAATCCTGTAGTTTGCCAACTCTAAGCTTCCTGCAGAGACCCTCAGAGTTGGTGGGGCAGAATGCCGTTTAACTAAAGAACAACTGCAGCAAAGGCAGGGTAGATTTGTGCATCAGGCCTCGCCAAGGATCAAGTGCATTCTGAGATCTCCTCAGAAGTAGTGAGGACTCTTTCAGCAAGCTGTGTGCGCCTCTGTTTGGGGGGAGTGCTGAGAGCAAATAGGGTGTGTTTTGTAGACAGAAGAGAGGGAAGAGGAACAGTGCTTGTCTGGGGACAAGGAAATGTTTTCGTTTGTGGGTTTAACATAACACTGAAACAACTGAATTCCACAGGTAGTAAGGGTCCATTTGTGATTTTAAAAAATAATCAAAGTAATTTATGGGCTCTGAAGTTTTAACATCAAGAAAGTGAACATGACTTTTCTAAACTGTTGTGACTTTTTGGGCACTTAGCAGGCGAACTGGGAAAGCTTTTTTAGCTGGCTGCTGTACAGACTTGTTTTAAGTAGAATGGATTTGTTAGTAGGGTATTTTTATTGTAATGCTATTATTGGCTGCCCTCCTGTCTTAAGATATGAAAAAGTGAGTGCATGCAATGGAAGTACAAGAGGCCCCAGTAATAGTTCTCCATGTTTGTTATGAAATAGACACAAGTTTCCTTTTTATGACTTTTTTTAAAACTGTCTTACAAACAGTTGTATTGGTACTTTTTTAAGTTTAGGTCAATGTTGTCTTCCAGAATAAGTTTTAAGGCATCACTCACTCCTGCATTGAACTATTGCATCAACACAAAGAGTGGAGATTCCATTCTGAGCCAGTTCAATTGTGAAAATTCATACTTCTTTATTTTTTATGCAATTCAATGAGTAGATGAGCTCAGATTTAAATTCTTAAAAGCACGTTTATTGTAACAAGAATTGTTATGTATTAATACTTCAGTTTTCAATAAAGATTGACTTGTGTTGCTTATTGTGGTTTTTTTCCTACTGTCTTTGGTGATACCCTTTTAGAAAAGATTCTGTTGCTGTGTAGCTGTACGATATGTTTAAGCTTCGTAAGCTAATGGAACTTGATGATGGATTGAAGCAAAGCAAAAAACGTGAATTGGTCAAGTGACTTTACTCAATAAGGTTTTTTCTAATGGCTAACAAAACACTGTCGTAACAGCTTCCCAATGGGCAATAAGCTGCCCTAAGCTGCCCTGCCTGAGAGTACAGTAAAGATACTGCAACCCTGCCTCATTCCCTTTTGAGGCGTTTCCTGGTGTTTTGAGTTTTTTATTACTTTATTTTGTAGCTTAAAACAAAGCAAATGGAACAGATGTAAAATTTCACAATGCTTTAGCATTTACTTGATACCAAGTCAATGCTGTTTCAGAGGTGACAGGCCTTGAGCAGAAAGCTATTATAAATCAGTGTCTCGAGTGTTCCCCAGGAGGAAAAGAACTGAGTAGGTGTGAGGTGTGGGTAATTAGTCTCTTTAGAGTGTGGGTGGCAGTAAATTACACTAATGTTGAAATGTGTATTTGGGGGCGACAGGACTACAG